TACTTTGTTTGGTCTTCCAAAAGAGGACACGACTAGAAATCAGTGGTTAAGTTGTATTTAAAGCACTGTTCCAGAACAGTTCAACCCAAATATTCAGATGTGTGCAGCACATTTCATGGAGGACTGTTTCCTGATCCTGGTAGAGTAGACTACAATGCCGGCTGTTCTGACTCACAGACTGTAAGTACGTTTACATTTAAAGAATTTGCCACTGATGATTCAAACGTGAGTTTTGAGCAGTGTAGAGTAGCGCTTGTTTGTAATTTCTCCGATCACAAATGCAGACATGGTTTTATTTTTACGCAGCGTGATGCAACGCGTAAAAAGACAGTATAAGTCATTATAATCCGTAATTATGTCCCCACTGGATGCAACAAATGCCTCGTTTATAATGGGTTTTCATGTTTTTGTCTCGTCGCTCTGGCCGGACAGGGCATCACAGTATGGTGAGGGGCGTAACATTTCCGTCTCACGCTTGAGGTATTCATCCAATCACAACGCACTGGATAGCTGGCCAATCAGAGCACACCTCGCTTTTCAGACCGATGAGCTTTGTAAAAATCGATGCGATTCAGAAAGGCGGGGCATAGAGGAGAAAAAATTATGTACAGTATGTGGAAACTAATGTGTTTTTTTTTTTTACTTTAAACCGCATAAACATTTCATTACACCAAATACACAAAATAATGTTCTTTTTAGCAACATCATATGACCCCTTTAACAGATGCTTTTGTCTAAAGGAAATTACAAATGAGTGATGCTACCTTTCTGAGATCTCCTCTAACATCTCCATGAGTTTGGCAGCCAGACCCAGCCGCCTGAACTCCGGTGCCACAGAGAGGGCAGTGACATGCCCGTGCCATTCCTCTCTAGCAACGGACCCCTCTGCCTTTCCCATGACTACGAGATGACAATTGACATACAGGTTAGAATTACTCCGGTCTGACAGTTGTACATGAAATCAGAATTGATCCTAGTAACTGTTTTAACACATGTTCCTAGTCTTCGCGTGAGTGATTCATGTTTTTCTACTGCATCAAAATGCATACATTTTTCTGCCTCTGAAACAACTTTTCTTTTCAGAGGACACCATCAGTGCCTGTTATTATTGAGCCCTTCAACCAGCTGGATACATTCTGGTATGCAGCATCTATTTTTTCACAATTGTTTTTCACACAGGAACATGCCAGATTTCGAAGTAAAATGACTTTCTATATTCTACAGAAGAAAGTAAATCATATGGATTTGGAACCACATAAAGGTGAGCTTTTATTACTCTCAATGACATGACGACAGATCAGAAAGAGACACATTTGACTTACTGTAGCCCATCAGTTCACCTCCTGGAGCCTCTGCTACTATGAAATACTCCGGCCAGTGAGCCAAATACTGAAGATAGAAGGGAATTCCATACTGTGTACAATAAATGAAAGTTAAGTTATGAATAATTAAGAGAACGACGACCTAGTGACATACTGATTAACTGATATTTTGGTCATTTTGAGATGTGTTTTAAAGGATACAGTTTCTGTCAAAGGGTCCAGATTACTGTGGGATGACACAAATTAATGTAAATATCACAATCTCATATGACGAGCAGCATATAGAAGCAAAACTAAGAGAATTAAACATTACAGTCACATGTGAAATAGCTTAAAACTGCTTTAAGCCCCGTTCACACCAAGAACGATAACTATAAAGATATAGTTCTAAAAATCGTTCTCGATATTAAAGAATAGAAGAGTTCACACCGCAACTATAACGATAAAGACAAAGAGAAACGATATCGTTGGAATCACTTTCAAAACGATTTTTCTCCAGCTGATGAATGATAAAAAATTGAGAGCCAATCAGAATCCAGTGTTGGGGAAAGTTACTTTTAAAAGTAATGCATTACAATATTGCGTTACTCCATCAAAAAGTAACTAATTACGTTACTTAGTTACTTTTTATGGAAAGTAATGCGTTACGTTACTTTTGCGTTACTTTTAAATTCTGGACAGGGCTTGCTTGTTTGTTTTTAAAATAAAAAAATTTATATTTTTGGAAAATATAAAACCTTTACACTCCAACAGTGAAATGAATAAGCCTCGAAGCTCGTAATGTTGTCATTCTCCCGTGTGTACACTGTGCAGGACGACGCTCTGACCTCTCACCTTACGCCACACGTGGACGTACTACGTTTCATATGTCTTTTTAAACAGCGACACCTGTCGGCTCAGTTAAACATTGATCACCAAACCAAACCAATTTTTGTAGCGATACAATATTTATTGGGGATATTAATATTGTAATAGATAAATGTTGTGTTATTTTATTGCATTGCATTGAATTATCATCTGGCTCATCCCACATTTGCATATATATAAAACATGTGTTATGTTACAGTAGCTTGACAAAACCAACATATACTGTTTGGTAAACTTGGGCTAGGTTTATTTATAATTTATTTTATTATTTTATTTATCAGAAGTGAACTCTTACTCAGATTTTTTTATTTCATTTAATTGTTTAGTTTATTTAATGTTATGCTTCAGTAGGGGACAATTAATAAATAAAAAGCTGATATATGTAGAAAATCGGTTTTACATTATTTCTAAAAAGCACCTTGCGGTTTTTGAAGTTTATAGCTTATATCATTTAACAATTATTAACATATATTCAAATGTATTAATTCAGCCCGAGATGCAATGCAATTGATTCCTAAACACATTATTTGTCTAACGCAGTGTTTAAATTTACATTCCAAATCACACTGTCAAACTGGAAAAGTGACCTTATTAGAATGACCTATATGATATAATCTCCAACCTGTTCAAACAAGTATTGATGTCATTACTTTCATGTCTGCTCTGCATTCATTTTTAAGGCTCTACCAGACTGCTGGCTCTTCCCCCTGTGAGTATTAAGACTGTCATTTCCATGAATGAATCAGTACAGAGTTGCAGGGTTTACGGCGTGTTATTTTCCCTCCGCAGGTCTTTTCCAGTGACATGAGTTACTGGTATCCATATCAGCTGGATGTTAAGGGGTTTGTTGGCACTAATCAAGTGTTCTCCAACTCCACCACGATGGTCTTCAGTCCCAAGTGCATGTCCGTCTTTATCCAGACCGACAAGAACAACTACCAACCAGGGCAGACGGTGAAATTTCGGGTTGTATTGGTTACTCCTGAAGGAAATCCGCACAAGGGTCAGACCGATATTTTTATCAAGGTGGGTGTCTGCAGTGTTTGGCAATAAAGCGATAAGTCTAAAACCCCCTTAGTTGTTCTAAATTCACTGTAAACTCCAGATTCACTGGGCGTATTGCTTTATAAAATGTTACCACACAATAAATACATTAAATGCAAAAAAATATATGTATTGATTAGGGCTGTCAGTCGATTAAAATTTGTAATCTAATTAATTACATGTGGCGATTAATTAATTGCAAATTAAATTTGGCTGTGAAAATATACACAAAAGATAATTTAAAGCCATTATTGTGTTAAATGAGAAAAAGTTCAAGTAGACATAAGTAGCTTTAGAAACATTTGATTTGATTCAGCATAAAATTTTATACACGTAAACATTTAGGCTACAACAGCCTAACATAAACATAAAATTGTGAAACATCTCCTTATTTTTTGTTCATACAATGAATGTCATTGGTACACCAAAGAGCTTGGCTACCAGCATTCATTAAAATATCTTCTTTTGTGTTACACAAAAGAAAGTAGGTCATACAGGTTTGAAATGACATGAGGGTGAGTAAATGATGACATAATTGTCACTTTTTGGGTGAACTGTCCATTTATTTATTTGTATTCATTCATTCAATTCGTTCTAACTGCTGATTCATTCAGGAATAAAGTAAACAGCTCTCTTTATGAATGGACCACAGAATCATTGGTTCACCCGATTCATTCAGAAACGAAACACCACTGTGTTATTTCGGAGATGCACAATAGTTCTACTATGGCTTTATAGGTAATATTTTCGTTGGCAAAGCTGAGCAAAAACAGACAATATTGTGTTTAAAATATAACAAAATTAGCTTAGTATTTACTGAACTGAATCACATTTGCACAACTTTTGCATCAAAATGTTTGCATTTATGATAGACTTCTGACCAGAGTTTCATGTCATCTAAAGTCTTTATTAATAGTTATGGTATAACATACTCATAATTCATTAAAAGAGCTTTTATTTTAGCATATTCATCAGACAATAATTACAATAATTACTTAATTGTAAAACCAACAACATTACAGCAGCAATTTTAAAGATGTTTTCTTTGGATTGTTTGACTCAAAAGAGAATATACCAAAATATAACAAAACACTAGCAAAACACTAATTTGTGTGTCCTGCTAGCTAAATTTCACATACATAAACACAAATCTGGCCCTAAATCTCTCTTTTCTTTATTCAGAGTTGATCTAGACCAGTATATGGAACAAAGCTCCATTAAAGCAATCAAAATTGTATCTCTATATTCATGCTATGTGTCCTCTTAAGGTGTACTGTTTTTGTTAACCTGGCAACACATCCCTTACGAAAATTTGATTATGAAAAAACAAAACACTCCATGGTTACTATAGTTAAACCATGATAACCCCAAATTAACCATGGCTTTGCTACAGTATGGTATTAAAAGTTTAACCATGGTATTTGTAGTAAAACTGTGGTTATACAAATGGCAACCAATACGCCAAAAAACATGCTTGCTATAATAAAACCATGGTTTTCTTAAGTTATTTGTATTTGTGAATACTTTCTGTTTTTCTTTATTCTTTCTTTTATTTTTATAATTGTACTGTCTTAATGGTTTGATGTTTTGTAGGCTACTGTTTAAAAAAAAGAAAGAAAGAATCAGGAAAAAGATTCACGATACAAGCTCTGAAGTTTCAATCTAAATCAAATGATTCACGATCCACAATCCGAAGTCCCGATCTGAAATAAATGATTCGCGATATGCGTCCTGAAGTGCTGATCTGAATCAAATGATTCACAAACCTGCTTCGAAGTTCCGATCTGAATAATGATTCACGAACCCGCTCCATCATTTTAGATCGGGACTTAGTAGCCTATCACAAATCTTTCAGTTTGCACAATGATTCACGAACCCACTCCGAAGTTCCGATCTAAATCAAATGATTTGCAAACCCGCTGCGAAGTTCCGATTTAAATCAAAAGATTTGCGAACCGCTGTGAAGTTCTGATCTAAATCAAATGATTTGCGAACCCGCTGCGAAGTTCCGATCTAAATCAAAAGATTTGCGAACCGCTGTGAAGTTCTGATCTAAATCAAATGATTCACGATCCACAATCCGAAGTCCCGATCTGAAATAAATGATTTGTGATATGCGTCCTGAAGTGCTGATCTGAATCAAATGATTCACAAACCTGCTTCGAAGTTCCGATCTGAATAATGATTCACAAACCCGCTCCATCATTTTAGATCGGGACTTAGTAGCCTATCACAAATCTTTCAGTTTGCACAATGATTCACGAACCCACTCCGAAGTTCCGATCTAAATCAAATGATTTGCGAACCCGCTGCGAAGTTACGATCTAAATCAAAAGATTTGCGAACCCACTGCGAAGTTCCGATCTAAATCAAAAAGAATTGTGAACCCACTGCAAATTTCCGATCTAAATCAAAAGATTAGCGAACCCACTGCGAAGTTCCGATCTAAATCAAAAGATTTGCGAACCCTCTGCGAAGTT